GTCAAATGAGGCCCCATCGATTATTTTGCCTTTGTGGGAGGGGAACCATCTGGAAAACCTTGTTTTCGGCTTATTGCTTAAAAAAGTTGGTGCTTTAGACAAAATGGATCAGCTGCCAGTGGGAACCGGCTGTCTCGTAGAATTCAGACAGCTTTGCTATCCTGGAGACTGGAAATCTGAAGTGGGCGTTCTATGGTTTTTCACAGCAGGAGGCATTTTATTTGGGTCAATTCCATGTTGTTCAAGAACATCCTGTGCTCTGGTTTTCGCAGCTAGAAGAAAAGGAAACACAGCGAGCAAACAGCTCTTTTCCTCGGCTGCTGAAGAGGAATAGACCCGACAGTCAGACGTGGGCTCCTCCCCGAAGCCCCTGGATGGTCTGCGGTGCTGATGGCCACATGCTGTTAAACAAAATTTACTTTACTTTGCTCAAGTGTCTGATTCACAGCTCCGCAGCTCCTATGACAAATTGCAGTGAGGCTCTGAATATGTGGAGATACTCATAGCAGGAGGAAGAAGGGTGTAGAAAAAACACACCTGACGCTTGCCACCGCCTGGCCTGGAGAACGCGGGACCGGGCACCAGGTCACCCGGCACACGCAGGCTCCACACACAAGGGACACACTCGGTGTGGACCGGGGAGGCGGAGGGGCAGGGGGCTCGCCAACTCTCACTAAAGGCACCCATAGGGGCACCAGGACCTCCATGGCCCAGACATGTGGAGTCAGGAGCTGCAGCGGGTGGACCCGGAACCTGATTTTACAAGGAATGACCCACAGAGCCTGTCCTGGGGGCCCTGGGAGGAGCTGGCACGGGCAGGAATGATGGGCCAGGGTCACCAGCTCGTTCTTAATCCCGAACAGCCTGTCCCGCCGGGCCCCAGGGCTCTGTCTGGAGGAGTCTGACCGAACAGTGAAAGCCCTTGATGAAAGAAAAACTTCAGGCAAATGACGTTGGACGGAGTTTAACTGAGCAATGATCGGGCAGCCTTCCCAGCCGGAGGAGGCTCAGAGACTCCCGCGCAGCCGCGTGTGGGAGGAAGATTCATGCACAGGGAAAGGAAAGTCACACAAACGGATGTGAGGGACAGAGACGGCTGGATGGGTTACAGCCTGCATTTGCCTTATTTTAACAGGTTCAAACAACTGGCTCTGTCTGAGGGGCCAAATCTCCGTGATTGACGCAAGTGCAGGCTACAGTCTGTGTACAATTCCACTTAGGTTATAGCTCACGCCGAACTTAAAATATGTAAAGAGGCAGCTTTAGGGCACACTTGATTTGATACCCAGGAGAAGGGGCCCCCTGCACTCCCCCAAGCCCTTGGGGACAGGCCTCGGGCGCCCTCCCTGCTCCCTCACTGGGCAGAGGGGCCTCCACTCCCCCAAGCCCTTAGGGACGGGCCTTGGGCACCCTCCCTGCTGCCTCACTGGGCCTGACTCCGAGGCAGTCCTGGCGGCTGCATCCTGCACTGTGCTGCCGGCTCCTGGCTGCTCTCTTCCCGCCTGGATGACTTTGAATAGCCACGAATCCCTACCTCTACCCAGGCACCCCAGGAAGCGAGCAGCCCAGCAGCTGTGGGAAACACCAGCCCCAGCAACCTTCCTTGAAAGCTCTGCAGGGGCCGGCTGCTGTAGCGGGCACTTCAGTCTGGTAAATCAATACTACGTTGCGTGGAACGTGGGCATGGATGCCACTCTGTCCAGGATTGAGTGCAGCGGCACTCGCTCTTCTCCATTGTTAGGAAAGAGGTGTCTGGAATAAGAAAAACCATTCCTTTTTATTTTTAAAGGAACCAAGGGTCATGGGCTCCCCTTGGAAGCAGCTTGAGGCTCTACACAGCTGACAGTGGCAGCTGCACCCCCAGGAAGCTGTGCTCACCTGTGAGTTGGGTGGGGCGTGTCTAGAATGGGGCTCTGGAAACTGGCTGCCGAGGTGACAGCCCCACACAGCCCCTGAGGTTGTGAACCTGGGTGAGTGAGGCAGGCCCCCTGCAGCTGCCTGCACCCATCCAGCTGTTTCTGTCTCCTTCTCACCTGATGAGTTGGTATTAAATCCAGACCAGTTATGACCTGGAGGGAGGGGGAGGCCTTGACTGTTCCTACAGCCCAGCTACGAGGTAATTCTCAAAATCCAACTATTTTAATGTTGTATTTGAATGTGTTTAATTGGTTCAAAATTTAAAATAAAAAATAAATAAGTAAAATCCCACTTGTCCACTTGTTCATCCAGCAACAGAACTCCCTGCCTGAAGTTAATTGCTTCTTCTGTGTCTTCTAGATGATCCCAGAAACAGTCTGGCCATATGCAACAAATAACAGCAAATAGCCTCCATGTATATATATACGTGTGCCTCTGCACACACACAGTGCACAGGGCATGCTACATGTGTGTGTGTGTATATATATATTCCCCTGTTTATAGACAGGAAGGTGCCCCTGCACACACACAGTGCACAGTGCATGCTACATGTTCCTCATTACACCTGTGGTATGTTACACACTGTATGCTACACAGTATGTGATACAGCGTATTGTTGAAACTGGAGAATTCCCTGAATTCCCCTCGAAAGATGTACAACAGCAGTGTGGCTCACCTGTTTGGCCGCCCTGCAGCTCAAACCTCTAGCAGGAGTATGCAGAGGGGCAGGGGCAGAAGCTGGGGCAAGGACTTTGGGCTCTTGGCCCTACAGTAGTGTCTAGAGGTGCGTGCGTGCAACCCCCGTGTCACAGAGCTCTCTCAGTTTGGCTGCCTGCAGATGGCTTCAGTGTTAACCAGCTCAACGAACCTTCTGCCTTATCACAAGGGCAGAGAGCCAATGTGACAGCCTTTTGTATCCCAAGCTCTTGTCCAGCGTCCTGGAAGAATCGAATCACAAGCGGACTCCAAGGATGAGTGTGGGGTTCTATTGAGTGGTGAAGGTGGATCTCAGCAGATGGATGGGGAGCTGGAAGGTGGAGGGGGCGGGGAGATCCTCTTCCCCTGGGGTCTGGCTGTTGTCAGCGAACTCCTCTTGGTGTTCAGGCCCCTCTTCCCTCCTTCTTTGCCGGGCCACAGTGTTGCTCTCTGCTGCTCTCCACCGCTCTCTGCCCCTCTCCACTCCTCTCGACATTCAGCTGTTTGTGCATTTGCCCGCTAAGGTCTCGGGTTTATATGGGCACAGGATGGGGGTGTGGCAGGCCAGAGTGGTCTTGGAAATGCAACATTCAGGTGGGAAAACAGGAGTGCCTGCTCTCACTTCAGCCTGTGGGCAGAGGCCCGAGGGTGGAGCCCTCACAGTGAGCCTGCTCTTCTCTACCTGCCCTTTCCTGCCCCTCCTGTGTCATCATGACCTACGTGGTGCACTGTCTACGATATGTTGCTTATAACATATTATTTATATCCCGTGAATGTTTTCCAACTTTAATCCTTATATACACAAAAACATATGATGCACACAATCTAAAATCAGGTGGTCCTTCAACCATTATCTTGAAGATCATGCCTTACTAGTGTAGAGTTTATCATTCTTTTGAAAAGAAATGTTATTTTCCATTGAGTAGGTATGGCCTTGTTTATTTAAGCAACGCCTTATTGAATTACTCATAAGGTATTTCAGTATTTTATTTTTTAATACATCAATGGAGACACTTTATACATATGTGATAACATATATCTAATAAAATTTAAGACATTAAATTATCAGGTCAAAAGAGTATGAGTGTTTTATCTTTTGTGTCTAATTTTCAATTGCTTTTTATAAATGTGAAGCTGGTTTGCAATGCTGCCAGCAGTGTGGAAGACAGCACATGTCTTTCCACATTCTTAGCGATCCAATTATTCCTAATCCTAGAGGCAGAAATCAAAAGTCATCATTCATGATTTCAATCGTTTTCTTATTCTTAATTAAATTAAGCACCCTTTAGCGCATCTGTACTCTGTTTATTGTCTCATCTTTTGGCCATTTTTTCAGTTGGATTATTGGTATTTTTATTACAGAACTGTAGAATCCATTTAACCATTTAAAATATGTGCTTTATGATAGCAACGAATTTCATGATTTGTCCATTTCCTTGGAACCATGTCACTTTTAAAATATTAATCCAATTATAAATTTTAATTGTTCTACTTATATTAATACTTGGAAACATTTCTCATGCTGAAACCGTAAGAAAACATCTTCATGTTTTTTTGGTGCTTATATACTTTTCAATTTTACATTTAAATATTTGATTCGAAAATAGTTTATTATGGTATAAACTGTGAGAAAATGATTTAACTACCCTTTTGTTAAAACCACAACCATATTCTTTGCTGCAGATTACAGGGTTCGTTAATACCATGCTTTTTCTTTAAGTTCGAAATTCCTGCTCTGAAGTATTCAGGGCCAGGGCTTATTTTTCTTGTCCCCACAATGCAAACATTTGTGTTATTCAACTGCATAAAGCACTGATAATTAAAGAGAAACCTTTTGAAACCTAAAGGAATTTATTTTGCTATTTACTAATTTTTATAAATTATTTAGTTGGATAGGATTGTTTCTAAGTTTTAGGTAAAAATTTTAAAAATAAAATAAAACACAGTTAAAATGCTTTGGTCCCTAACCCTCATTTTCCATGGAAAGGATCATTGCTCCTTGGAAAAACTGGCTGATTCTATTTCTGGTGAAGACAGGCACAAAGTGAGCCATGGCATCATGTTATGCCAGGAAAAAGCAAAACAACAAAACAACACAACACAAAACAAGAAAAACCTCAAAGACAACTCTTCTTCAAAGCCATGGGATGTGTCTGAGAATAGTCACAGCAGCAGAAGAGGAAACTAGCAAGTCCCACAAAGAGTAAAATGAACAACGGTGTTATCCATACTCACAATGGATGATGGAGCAGCAGGGATGACCCGTGAGATACTGCACACATCAGTGCAGGTTAATTTCACACGAATGAGTTGAGCAGGGAAGCCAGACTTAAGACTGAACACTGTATGGTCCCATTTGCATAAACAACAAAACAGGCAGAACTAACCTGTGTCGTTCCACGGCCGGGTAGTGGCTGTGCTGCCGGATGGACGGCAGGAGCGGCAGGAAGGATATTCTCGCTGTGGGCCCCACTCTTGGCCCACAAATGTGCTCGGTTTGCAAAAATCCATGGAGCTGGAAACTTGTGACGCGTGCACCTTTCTGTGTGATGTTTTCTCTCATCAAAACTTTCTCGAGAACACGCAGGATAGAACCTGAACAGCTTCCCCTGGGAAAGAATGGGACTGTTTTAACATCAAGAATGAAGATAACCTTGAGGGACTCTAAACACATCTGTAGTTTAAATCCCATGAATTATTAATAATTCTCAGCAACACCTAAAATCAAAGGAATCCGTGATCACTTTTGGGAGATAACAGAGGAAAAAACCTCATAATTTTGAAAATGGAAAGAAGGCAAATGCATTGATCCTGCCTTTCGTATAAAAACTGTACCTCAGGGCGAGGAAAGAGTCAACAAGGGGAAGTTTCTCTTCATGGAAATATTTCAGCTAATAAATAAGAAAAGCATGGTAATATTAAAATACTACAAATATGCTACCCACATGCATTAATGTACCTATGTGGTGATTATCAAGGCTGTTTACATTAAAGCATGAGACACACTGGATACTCCATTGTTCCACAGTGGGGAGGTCCCAGCACAACTGCCCTCAAAGTCCAAGGAAGCTGAGAGGCCAGAGAAAGAGGCCAGTAAACCTGGTTTCTCAGAAAGAAACATTTAGTAGGAACTTAGGGACAGAAGCCGTGTCTGCAGCCAGACAAGATGGTGGATCCCTGCCCATAAACCCCAGGCCCAGGGCCTATGAGCCAGGGCAAAGGGCTGGTTCAGAAAGCATGGGTGGGACAACTGAAGTGCAACAACATCAAGTTGTCTGGACCCAAAGGCACGACTTACAGTAGATACTTACTCACACGCAAGGAACAAGATTGTTACCAGCCATGGGTTCCTATGCTCCCATGCAACAGAGGGGTCACGAGGCCACGGATTCTTACACTCCCATGCAACAGAGGAGTCACGAGGCCACAGGTTCTTACACTCCCATGCAA